TTGGATGGCTTTGTGGTTGTTTCAGTTTCAGGACATCGTTTTTCTGGAAGGATCATGGGATTTAAAAAATGGCAGCCTCCCACTTGCAGTCTTAAGTGGTACAGTCTATTTGCCAGGTGTAGAGTAGTCCTTATTCCACAGCTGTAAGCAATACCGAAGAACGCTTGGTTGGAGGAGCACAAAAAGGTCGAAGAGGGCGCAAATAAACTGGAGAAGTTTAACAGTTTAAAGAGAACCACAGCTCTGTATGTGCCCCCTTTAGATAGCTAATTGTTATTTTGAAGACACGTAAAGCTGGTGCACTGAAACGTCAAGCACATTAGCATTTAATCCTCAATTACATGCATACTTCAGTGTGTAAAGAGGGCATCTGAGCAAGCCAAGCAGAAAGAAGCCTGGAGCTTCTGCTATTCCTGCCAAATACTTCCTGCTTAATAGCACAAGAAGTCCCTCTGCCCCCGAAAGCTAAGACTGCTAGAAGAAGCTGAGCGATGCTTCATGTTCCAAGATTACTGAAATTCTCAAGCATGGGGCAAGCCCTCAGTACCAGTCCTTCACCACAAACTTACCTTTATTTACTTGTTTGAAATATAGATTGATTGCAAAGTCAAACAAAAACTTATCAAGTTGCTACCTAAAAAGATAGAACACTGGTAGCAGTCAAATCTTGTGAGTCAGCGTGCCACCATATGCTTTGATATTCTTACCAAAGACGCTTAGAGAAAAGCTTCATCTGATGACTAGAATACATTTACAGGATGGTATAGGAGGGAGAATCCCCTACAGTATTTGGACCCAAAGCTATTGAAGGCTTCAAAGTTAATTATAGAACCATACAGTGGCCACCAGGTCCGACTGTCTGCTCAATGCCAGACTCAAGTCTCCCATCCAGGCTCCAACCAGGCATGACCCTGCTTAGCTTCCAAGGTTAAGCAGGATCAGGCACTCCAGGCTATATAGAAACTACACACCTAGCATGGGCTTGGGAGCAAGGAAGAAGCCAATGTTCTCCTCCCAGAATTGGTGTGACTTGTTTCCACCCATGCAAGCCAGACACATCTCTGCACAGTTGAAACTTCTACACTATTTTCACAAATGAGGAGATAACAAAGCTTTCAAGTTGTACTATGGCTAGTCAGAGAATGAGGGAAATAGACAAAAAGAGGCTGGATGGTTCTTTCCTTTTCTTTGACGGGGTTCCATTTCACAGTAGTAGTTTAAATGGCAACATGCCTTTTGAGTATCTGATTAAAGGGTTGACTGTCTGGTAAAGCATTGCATTTTACCTTTTGAATATCTGGCAAAGGATTGCATTTCACCTGAGCAGCACAATGGCTAGAATGCTTTTATATTTTATATTTATTTTATATTGTTAATTTTAATTTTATATTGTTATTGTTGTGTTGTGTTGTGTTGTGTTGTGTTGTAAGCCGCCCCGAGGCTTCGGCAAGGGGTGGCATAGAAATGTTCTACTAAATAAATAAATAAATAAATAAAATGCTGGAGTGGGACTAGAGATCTGGATTCTAGTCCCTGACTTGTCCATAAAACTCACTGAATGACTTTGCAAGAGTCACAGATTCTTAGTCTAACCCATCTCACAGGGCTGTTGGAAGGATAAGATGGAAAGTCCTGCAAGTCCCAGCATGCCCTGGGCAAGCACCTTGGCTGGGTCATGCTGAGGCTTGTAAGACCTCCTTTTCATGCATAAGAACGCACAATTTTTGACTTGATCTCCTGTTTTCCTCCAAACAACGGCACTCAATAACAGTGAAGACTAACACTAAAATCTTAACCGAAACATGAGCATGGGGTTCAAACTGGTCAGTACTGAAGCTATCTTTGATGCTGCATCTCTTCTGGGGCTCAGACTCAGCACCATGGAGATTGCTTTGAAAATTCTGTTTCCACTCGGGACAGATGAAGTGCCCCACAGACACCAGTACCACCAGCCTCCACTGGGACTGGCTGTGAGCAGCCTCCTGTGCATCTTCTGGGGAGGGGCTGCTGGTCAGCTGGAGGTCACAGCAGCATCCCCAGTTCCACCCTGGCCTCTCCAGGAAGGCCTTGAAGAAGAGCCATGCCTAAGACCCTGTGCATCTTTCCACTTGACAAAATGAACCGGTCTTCCCCAGCAAGCTTCCAACTAAGACTTTCCCCAGCCCCACATTGGTGGGGGATGCTGACAACATCTGGGAGGCACCAGAGGTAGCTGGACCGGGCTTTTGATGTCTTTCTTTGAGCTTCTGCTGGCTGGAGCATCGCGGGAGGTGTCAGCCTTTCCCTCCATCCAAACATGCCCAGGCCGGCGCCTTTTATCCCTCCGGGGGCAGAAGCCTTCCAGAGCGCAGGGCAGGAATCGGGCGCACCCGGCCGTTCGGTCCCGCAGGCTCGGCAGGAGGCGAGGCAGGAGGAAGGAACTGTGGACGGGAAGGACGCAGGCGAGAAGGGCTCTCGGATTGGGCGCCGCTTCGCACTCTCCCCAAGCCCGGGGCCAGGGAGGCCTGCCCGGCCCGCTCACATGACCCTCGCCCAGCCGCTAATCCCGGCTCTCTCGGCCCCGGGCGCCCAGTGCGGGGCCGGGCACGATGCGAGCACTTTGCAGCCGGAGCAGCGGCCGCGCCCTCCGTGCGCTTGGGCTGCTGCTGCTGCTGCTGCCGCCGCCGCCGCCGCCGCCGCTCGGGGAGGCCACGGCGGCCCCCGGGGCCCTCGCAGCGCGGGACGCGCCCGCCCAGCGGCTCCTCCAGGATCCAGGTAGGCGGGGGGGGGGGCTGGCCGCGGGGCGCCCCCTTGCTCTGCTCCCTTTGCGCGCGAGCAGGTCGCGTGGGGACGTCCGCGCTGCCGTCGAGGCGGCCGAGCCGGCTCGGCTGCGATGGCAGCCCCACGCTCCGGGGAGGCGGGCTCGCTTCCCTGTACACGGCGGCGAGGATCGCGCGCGGAGCAGGCGCGGGCGCGCCCGGCGTTGCCCGGCGGAGAGACGTGCGCTTCTCTCTGCTTCGCGTTCTTTGCTCGCCGCGGGGACGGTCCGCGGATGGCTAGAAAGTGAACGGGACACGCTCCGCGAGACTCAAGGTCGGAGGCGACACGCTCCGCGGGGCAGGCGGGATGGCGCTGCGAGCGGCCGCGGCGAGAGAGAGGAGAGAGGCCTCCTGGAGCGGCCCGAGCCCCATCGCCGCCCCTGCTCTGTCCGCCCAGTGTCCGAGCAAGGCCGTTTCCTGCCCAGCAGTGATGGATACGGGCGCAGTGCCCTTGCAAGGTATTCGCCATCCGGACTGGGAGGACCCACGGGAGCCCTTCTCCTGGGTTGCCCCTGCTTCCCTTTTAAGGCTGCCCAAATGGGTGGCCATCAGTGCTGCTGGCGGGAGTGAATGCTATACTGCGTGTGTCATGGGAAGAACCCTTCCTTTCATCTGCCCTGAGTCCCCGAGTAGCCAGTCCACGCAAGGTTTGAAGTTGCGCGGTTTTGAAATGCATTAGCCTTGCGGGGGCAGTACAGAGGTTTGTTCTTTGCTCTGCCAGGCCAGGCCAGGTGCCCTTTTGGGATTGACATTTATGCTTTGAGCACAACATGGAGTGTTTTTATGTTGTTGGAATTATATATTAACATTACAATTCCAGTTTTTAAACTGAAGCTGGTCTCTTACCTGGAAAGGTAGGTGTGATGACTCACCTGTATTAAAGACCTCAGTTGCTCCTTAAGGAAATGGGAATTCGGGATTCTTTCCTTCTTTGACAATTGGATCCATCGGCTGCTATCAGGCCAGAACAGACTAGGACAATTTTGACCTCCTGCAGGATATACATCCAAATCCTTGGATTTGCAGGGACCCTCCTACCTTCATGAAAGGGAGACTTACTGCACACACAGGCCTATGTAAAGTGGCCTGAAATTGGATGGCATTGAATACAGTTGTTGTTGTTAGTTGCGAAGTCATGTCTGACCCATTGCGACCCCATGGACAACATTTCTCCAGGCCTTCCTGTCCTCCACCATCCCCCATAGTCCACTGAAGGTCACACCAACTGCCCCAGTGACTCTATCTAGCCACCTCATCCTCTGCCGTCCCCTTCTTCTTTTGCCATCTATTGTGCCCAGCATTAGGCTCTTCTCCAGGGAGTCCTTCCTTCTCATTAGGTGGCCAAAGTATTTGAGTTTCATCTTCGGTATCTGACCTTCCAAAGAGCAGTCAGGGTTGATCTCCTCTAGGACTGACCAGTTTAATCGCCTTGCAGTCCAAGGGACTTGCAGGAGTCTCCTCCAGCACCACAATTCAAAGGCCTCAATTCTTCTGCGCTCAGCCTTCCTTATGGTCCAACTTTCACAGCCATACATTTCAACTGGAAAAACCATAGCCTTGACTATACGCACTTTTGTTGGCAGGGTGAGTTGAATGCAGTATTTACTCCCAAATAAACATGCATCGGATTGTGCTATAACACAAGCTTTGGGCGTTATCAAGGCTGCCGTCCAATGGACACTCCCTTGGAAGTGTCAGCTCCATGTTCTGACTTAGGAGAAACATTCATAGGTCTGGGCTCTAAGACTATAACCCCAGTAGTACATTCCCCTGAACTTAGTTGGGATTAGCACAGGAAGACATCACCCAGCTGCGATGCTCAGCACTCCTGGGGCAGAATCCAATGCATGTTTAGGTAAAATCCTCCAACTTGTAATGTGTCTTGGCTAACTGTGCTAGCTGGTGTAATCCTTTGGGAGCCTTGCATTGCACCGTACCCTAAAAGGACTTACTCCTGAGCATCTTGTGAGTATATCAGGAAAGCCTCACAAGATATAAAATCAAAGGAAGAGTAGCCCATGAAATTAGCAGTTTCGGGTTTTTAATCCACAACTGTATCTAAAGGTATTCCTACATTTTAAAAATAACTAGCTTCGCTTTTTGTGAAACTCACAGCACATTGCAATAGTTTACAGACTTTCAGCCACAAGACAAAAAAGTGTTGTGTCAAATTAAAGCTGCCTCACTCTTGCTTTTCAGAAAACAGAAGCCAGTGTATACTCTCTCCATCCTCAGAATTCCCAGAAGGGTTTTTTACACAACAGGAGCGAGAAGATGGAGGCATCGTTATCTATTTCATTATCATTCTTTATATGTTCTTGGCTGTGTCCATTGTATGTGATAATTATTTCCTCCCTTCCCTGGAAATAATCAGTGACTGTAAGTTTTTCATTATTTATTAGATTTATACCCTGCTTTTTTCTTGCAAATAACTCAAAGCAGCTTACATCATTCTCCTACTGCTGCTCTCAATTGTGTCCCCATAACAACAACCCTGTGAGGTAGGTTGAGCTGAGAGTCTGTGACTGGCCCAAAGTCACCCAGTTGGCTCCATGGCTGAGCGGGGACTAGAACCCAGATCGTCTGAGTCCCAGTCCCACTCTCTTAACCACTATGCCACACTGGTCCTTTACTGCTTTTTTATCTGCATGTTGTGGTTTGTTTGTTTGCTTGTTTAAGGTAAATCTCTTCTACAAAAACTAAACCACCATTTGAAATTATTCTGTTCACATGGCAATTGAAGTCTTGAAATAACCCATCTCACTATGCAAATTTATGCAGCATTTTCTTGCTTTTTACAGCACAAACATCCTGCAAGTAGTTTTGAGGTTATCAAGTACCACTAACAAACCTTTGGTATACTGGTATATTACTTCATTTTATATCAATGTTTGAAACCATCATTTTGAAGATTAAATAAATGGCATTCTTATGAGATTTTTATATATGGATAGCAGTATATAAATCTATTAAAGAGAACAATGAATCGTTCACCAAGTCAAAGTGACACTGGCAAACAGCTAGAAAAACAAGTATTATCTTTATTCTATACCACCCAATAGTTAAAGCTATATGGGTAGTTTACAACAGCATGTAAATACTGATAAACAATTATAAATATTACAGTACAAAATGGAAAAACCAAATTATGGACAGGTCTGTATGTACTTCTGCTAAAAGAATATAAGTGTCTGGTACCACTCCTGTACAAACTGAGTTTCCAGGATGAGTTGCAGAGTTTGGCTGTAATTTGTGGAAGAGAAAGTGTGTCTGGGGATCTATCCTGCCATAGGAATTCAGCAACATAGAACGCTGCTTTAAACCAAGCCATGTTGCTTGTGTTCCTCTCTGTCTAGGCCAGCAGTGACTGGGTTCTGACAGTCTGAACCCTGGCCTTATAATGATTTACAACCATCCTTAGGGGTCACAGGGAAAAGCGCTTTCTCCCTTTTTGCTAACCTGATCCTTAAACTCGGGAGGAGAGTGGTTTCGGTCTGGGAGTGAAACAGGCCTCCACAGGCTCCAGATTACCACACTCCATTCCCTTCTTCCAACAACGGCTCCCTGGGTGGAATCCCAGTTTCTTTGCAATCCCCCTCACCGCACCCCAACCCCACAGCCTCAAGGTCATGATGGCCTCTCCCAAGGCACTAAAAGCTTAAAATGAAATCATGCTGGCCTTCTTGATCCTGCTTCTTTCGCCTGCACCCACTCTGGAATGCCTCCACATCTCTCACACCTTTTCCAAGGTGGAGTTCTGTTGTCTGACTGAAAGAATGTCAGCAGCAGCATTTTAACTGGAGAAGCCAAAGGGAATACAACCTGCCCACCCAAGGTGGGAGCAATAAAGCAAGTCCGCCACCTCCATTTCAAATTGACCACGGCCACGTTTTGCCGTATGTTGGTACAACCTGTATTCTAAGCCCTGGGTTTATTGCTACACTTGTTACCTCAGAGTTAGCCGCAGCCCTGATATTCAGAAATATTTCTCTTGCTTTTCTCCTCTTTGTTCCTTACCATAGCCCTGGGCCTCTCTCAGGATGTTGCAGGAGCAACTTTCATGGCAGCTGGTAGCTCTGCCCCTGAATTAGTCACAGCCTTCTTAGGTAAAGTTAAAACACACATTTGAACAAGAGTTCTTTGCATCCCACTTGCTAAGCATCACTCAACAGAATTAATTTCCACTTTCCCTTTTAGGAGTTTTCGTCACAAAGGGAGACATTGGACTCAGCACCATCCTCGGTTCTGCAATCTACAACCTTCTTGGTATCTGTGCAGCTTGCGGGCTTCTAACTAGTGTGGTACATACTGACTTTTATGATTCTCTCAAAACTGTTTTCTCATGGCCTCCTGCCAAAGCAAACTTCCTCTGAGGGCAATTAAAGTTAACATAGTGGCAAAATGGCATGTAATCAATTTGAAGATAGTAAAAACTTTTGGCAAGCCAGTCACTGTGCTTTGCTAACTGTTAAAAAGCTGAAAGCTAGAATCTGAAAGCTAAATACAGGAGTTGTATAATGACATTTCATTATGTGTAAACATTATTTATTACAGTTATAGACTGCACCATAGCCCATTTTATGTAGGTAAGAATAAATACAGTGTTATTGATATTTTTATGGCATTTCCAGATGAACTGGGGTAAGGAAGGGCAAACCTCAGGGTTGCAGGATCCATTTGACATTTTACTAGAACCGTGAGGTCCGTCAACTGGAACAAGATGTTGGCTTGGAAGACAAATCTAGTTAACTACTAAAGCCCATGAGCAATGGACCAAGTTGACCTGCACAGACAAACAGAAATCTATGTCTGAGTTGCTGTAAATCAGATTCTGTAACAATTCAACAATGGAAAATTGAAGAGCCTTATCTACTGTAAATTCCTCAGAGAAATAACCAGGAAAGTCTGATCTACCCAATAGCCCCACCCAATTTAAGAACACATCATGCAGAAAATGCCAAGTATTCGAAAAATCCATAACAGTATGTCTGAATTGTGTTCTGTAGGTTTTGAGACTTTCTTGCTGGCCGCTTTTTAGAGACTGTACAGCCTATGCAATTAGTTCAGCAGCTGTTCTTGCAATGATAATCGACAATAAAGTTTACTGGTAAGTTTACTGCCTGCCTAGTGTTCTGTGAATGGTCACCAGAAAGCTAGATATTTACATGTTAAGTAATGTGTGAATGTACAACCAGAGATATTGACCACTTACTAGTGAGTAGCAAGCCCTTTAACATAACCTACTACAAGCTGTTTGTTTTAATCTGTTGATTCATTGGTTTGATCAAGAATTAGGGATGTATTTAAGTTTGCTTATGTATACGATAGGTTTTTATTCTAAGTTCCTTCAGTATGTCAAAAGCCTCCTATGTTAAAGCTCTGGTGATAAGACTAATTTTATCAACTAGCCAATGATCAACTGGTAGGCAGCCCTAATTGTTAACTGTATTTTCTCAAATGCTTCATCACCAAAAACCAGTGTGGCATAGTGGTTAAGAGCGTGGGACTGGGACTCAGGTGATCTGGGTTCTAGTCCCTGCTCAGCCAGGAAGCCAACTGAGTGCCTTTGGACCTGTCAGACTCTCAGCCCGACCTACTGCACAGGGTTGTTGTTGAGGGAGCAAGATTGAGAGTGGGAGAATGATGTAAGCTGCTTTGAGTTCTTTGTTAAAAAAAAAAAAAGGCTGTATAAAAATCTAATAAAGAAATACATCCTATATATTTATCAATATGCAAGACGCTTGAGATTCCAATTTTGGCATGACTTAAGAGCAGTATAAAAAGGGCTGTGGGTGGCGCAGTGGTTTTAACTGCTGAGCTGCTGGGCTGGTTGATCGAAAGGTCGCTGGTTCGAATCTGCACAACGGGGTGAGTTCCCGTTGCCCTATCCCAGCTCCTGCCAGCCTTGCAGTTCAAAAGCATGCAAATGCAAGTAGATAAAAAGGAACCACTTCGGTGGGACGGTAACAGCGTTCCGTGCACTTCGGTGTTTAGTCATGCCGGCCACATGACCATGGAGACTGTCTGTGGACAAATGCTGGCTCCCTTGGCTAGGAAACAGAGATGAGCACCCCCCCCCGCCCCCCAGAGTCAGACATGACTGAACTTTAATGTCATGGAGAAACTTTACCTTTAAGAGCAGTACCTTGACAAATACAAGAAACTTAACTGTAATAGTTGCACGTACTTTGCTTTCCTGTAGGCAGGAAATGGCAAGAACACATCTCTAGTTGCATGTGATGTGGGACTGACAAAAATCACACGCACAGTATTTCAAAGGGGATACTGTCGAGCTGAGAAAAGTGCAGAGAAGGAAAACCAAAATGATCATGGGTTCAAAGAAACTCCATGAGGAAATGTTACAACTTATGAAGTGATAGAGGTGTATGAAATGTACAGTGCGGATAAAGTGGATGGAGAGAAGTGTTTCTCTCAACAGCCTGGGGCCATCCAGCGAAGCAGAATGAAGGGAGATTGAGGTCAGACAGAAAGTTCTTGTTCACTCAGTGTGGAAAAATATAAAATTCGCTACACTATGTGGTGGTGATCAGCAACTTTAAAAGACACATCCCTGGAGAGTAAGGCCATTGAATGACTTCTAGCAGTAGCAACTCCCCATTGCAGATAGCTTGCGCCTTTGAATACTTAGAGGGATCCTCAAACTTTTTAAACGGGGGGCCAGTTCACTGTCCCTCAGACTGTGGAGGGGCGGACTTTAGTTTGAAAAAAAATTGAATGAATTTTTATGCACACTGCACATTAAAAATTAATTTGAAAAAAAAAAGTAAAAGTAAAAAATGTTTGCTCTGCTCGCTCGGGCTGGAGCAGAAGCCCAAGATGACGCCACGCCACCCACCGAAAGGGAGAGCACGACACGAGGGGAAGCCATGAGGTTGAGGCCTTCCCACTCCTCGCTGCCGCCCTGCTTCCAAGCCGGAGGAAGGTCCCCTCACAGGCGCTCGGCCAGCTCCAGGAGGGGGAGGCTGGAGAGGCGAGCATGGGGTGGCGAGGAGAGGTAAGGGCTGCTGAGGCGGGGGGCCACGGCTGGCCAAGCAGGGCGCCTCCCGCCTCTCCACCGCGGGTGGAAGAAGCATGGCAGCCTCTCGATGGCAGCAGTGGCAGCTTGCCCAGACAAGGCTGTGGCGGAGCCATGGGAGCCACGGCCCCACTCCCTCGACCTGTCCACCCCCGGGCTTGGCGAGGTGGCCACAGCCTGGCCCGCAGCCCGGGGACATATAAAAAGTTATATTTTTCTTACCTTCTACCTTTTGTTATTGTCTTCACCTCTCTTCCCACTGCCCTCCTCTCTTCTGTATTCCCGCTCTGTATTCAGAGCCAACAAATGTGTGCAACAGGGGGGAAGAGCTGGTGCACACAGTTGAAGGGAGCTGTCACAATTTGGCGCATGTGCCAGCTCTCTGCTAGTCTCCAAAACTGAGAGTTTCAGAGAACACCTGCACTTGCTCGTTCAGAGATCGTTTTCTCCGAGCAAGTCCAAAAGCTCTGAGGCGGGCCGGGTAAATGACCATGGCGGGTCGTATCCAGCCCGCAGGCTGTAGTTTGAGGACCGATGACTTAGAGGCTACTGAGATAGGGGGAAGGTTGTTGCCATTCCTACTTGTGGGCTTGGTAGAAGCATCTGGTTAGCCAGCTGTGGAAAATGGGTTTGCCTCTGCTCGTTTACCAGACCCTGAATACCCACCAACTGCAGCTTAGTTGAAAAGACATTCACTTGAAAGAATGTTGAGCTGAGCATTTTGTAGGGTATCAGAACTGATTTGAACTCACAGTCCTTTCACACAAAAACTGTCAGCTTTCTTCCATTCAGCCATCTCTTGCAAATTAGCCAAAGACCAGATCAATCTTCTGCCCACTGTCCTCTCTTAGACTCTCATAGCCAAAGGCTACTATGAGAAATTTTGGAAGCATGGAATGGGCCCCAAGTATAATCCCTGGGATTTGCTATAATCAGGAAAATTTTATAATATAAAATGCTCCAAGTACAGAAAATCTCCTATGAAACTGTCCATTTTTTACACAAGTTATTTTTATTATAGGTATGAATGCACTTTACTCCTGCTAATATATGGAGTGTACATTTTGGTGCTCTACTTTGACATTAAAATCAACCAGTACATCATGAAGAAGTTTAGTCCATGCTGTACCTGTTTCACAGTAACTGCGGAAGAAGCTGAACAGCAGCCACTCATTGGATGGAAGGAAGAAACGGAGCCTCTTGTTCGACGACAGTCAAGAACAGACAGCAGAATTTTTCATGAGGAGTCCGATTACTCACAACTTTCATTAAGTTTACATGTACTCGATACAATTTCTGAAGGTATTCATGCACACTTACTAACAGTTCCTTTTTTTAAAAAAAGGCTCTTGTGGATACCGACAGCTTTAGAAATTCTGGTCCAAAATTAATTCTAGGATATTCCTAAGTTTCCTCAAGTTAGAATCCTGGGAGCTGAAGTGTTTTAAATCTCTGTGTGGCTCAGGTGAGACAAACTGAAACAGGAATGCACAGGTCCTGCATCAGGTAATACTCTCTCAGACATTCACATGCACAAGACACCTGGATTGCTGGTGGGACATACATGGTATGATCTTCCTTTTGCTTCCTGTTAATTGTTTTTAAAGAGAGCTAAACTTCACGCACCATAAAACTTGTACGTCATGTTTAAGTAGTAATTTGCAGGGTTTTTGAGAAAACTTGGGAGAAAATAATTTGGAGAAAAAACCTGGGAGAAAAAAAATATTGGAATGACTAATACGCCCTATAAATTTCATATGTAGGTAACCACGTACATGTCCAAACTGTAAAAGTTATGTTTCTTGCAAGAGAAAAAAGGCAGGATATGAAGAACATAAATCACAAATGCCATAAATATCATGCATTCTTTAAACCGTGGCTTAGTCCCCCCACCCCCATTTCAATTCTTGAATGGTTCTCTTGGGCAGATCCCCCAAGTGTGTTCACCGTGCCTGAGGCAGATCTGAAGAGAGTTCTGTGGGTGCTTTCCCTTCCAATAATTACCGTACTCTACTGGACAACCCCTGACTGCAGAAGACAGTTTTGGAAGAACTGGTTCATGCTCACATTCCTCATGTCAGCAGTGTGGATTTCTGCATTTACTTACGTTCTTGTATGGATGGTAACAGTAGTAGGTAGGTATTCAGCCCAGCAGTGTAATCCTCCCTTAGACAACCATCAGTAATGTTACAATGGAAATCTGGGTTTCAGTGATGCTTCTGCTTAACTATCAAAGATGACCTGTCTACACTCTTAATCTCTTGCATTTACCCAAGGCCAACTCATTCTATGAAAGGAAGTACCTGGGGCATGTCTCACACTAAAGAGTAGTTACAAATAAAGAACACTTCTGATTCCCCAGCACGCGTGCCAAGACGCTCCTTGGCAGGTAGCAAGGCACAACGCACTGTGACGCTGCCAAGCGAGCCTGCGTGGTCCAGCACAGGTGGCCCCCACTGAGCACTTTGTAGGAAATGATCCAGAGCTCACTCCTCTCTAGAAAGGAGGCTGCACTCACTGGACCTGCAGGTTCATTCTGTGCACAGCACAGCAAGGAAGGGCATTTTGCTTGAGATGAAAGATTTTTACACAGAGACTCAGACATCTCTTATGGGAAATGAACCATGGACCCAGCACTCTTGTTTTTTAGACAGACAGATGGGGCACAGCCAGAACATGTAGCTAACATTGCTATCTAAGCAGGAAATTAATATCTTAAACAATTTAACACAGAAAGCTTTAAGTCAGACCTGGTTTGCACATGGCAATCCATGGTTTAACTAACTATGGTTTGTTGGAAACCTGGGTTACATGCAAACCCAGAACTAAAGGCAATCATTATGTGCAGACCTAGATGCACAGTTTCTTTCACCTGACTAAAAGGCGGCAGGCAAGGGCTGTCAAAAAGCCCAGGCTTTTTACATGCCAGTACTGCAGTGCCACAAAGGCAGCTGGGATGAAGGAACTGGAAAAAACAAACCATGGTTTGTTGGATCACCTGCCAGGCAATCTTAAAGCAGGACAACAAACTGTAGTTTAAATAACGTATGTGTTAGCGCTGCATACAAACTAGATCTATTTATCTAGTCCTGCAGTATCTACTCTCAATCTTCTGTGTCCTGCTACACAATGCCTTTCACTGAAACATGGGAATGAGTATGAGCAAGGCATGTAATCCGCTATTGGGTTAGGGGCCCCTTCCTTTAAGTCATACTCACCTGTATTTATTATATATCAAAACGGAGTGTTTCTAAGGATAATCCAACAATCAACCTCTTTGGACTGTACTAGACTCCTTTCTTATATTCCATTTGCCAGTATGCAATTGCAAGATTAGAACAAACAAATGACAGTCATAATGTTAAACATGTGAATCTAACCTTTGATTATACAGCAAACTATTGTTGAGAAAGTTTAGTATTTAATTCATTTAATTTCAGGTGTCAGAAGCACCAGTCAAATCAGATCTGACATTAGTATTCAAATTTCAACAATATTAAACAACTGTTACAGTGATAAAGACTGTGCCCTTTCATCAGTTTCTGGAAACAAAAGGCTTAAAGTTGATTTCCCACATCTGAGCTTTCATAGTAATGCCATTTGAAAGTTTCAGACTAAGGTTTATCAGCAGACTTCACACCCTTCCTCCCATGGGAACTTGTGTTTCTTTCAAGAGTTGATCATTAAAAGGGGTTAGCTGTTCATATGACTGACTTCAAGAGCTCATGTGATAAATATACTGAAGTAACAGAAGAGATTATACTTGCTTGCAGCCATTCCAAAAGAGGGCTGCAACTGTCAAGAACAATCTGCTGCTGCATTTAAAGGAAGATTTTGCAGGCTTTCACGCTGCTTAGTTATTTTCAAACTTGAAAGATTTTAATCTATTATTGCTAGACTGACTGATGCAGCATAGTAACTCCTTCCAGAATATATTTACTTTCTCGATGTACAAATGACTAAGCTGCCATATTTTGTTTATTTTGATTTTGAGTAGTCATCCTTAAAACATTAGTATGACCCCATCTGATCCATTCTTTGACCACTGAAATAAAACTAAGATTTGTGGGGGTTTTTTCCTGCTTTAGGGGAAACTTTGAAAATTCCAGAAAGTGTAATGGGTCTTACACTATTAGCAGCAGGAACGAGCATTCCAGATACAATTGCCAGTGTGCTGGTGGCCAGGAAAGGTAAGCCACCGTTCATCACTTTCATACCCATACCATCAAGAAGTCACAGAGAAGACTGGAGAGGGGGCATTTCCCCCTTGTTGATATGTCAGCATAACACAATAAAGTCCCATATGCTCTCAGGGTTTGACATTAAAACAAACTCCTAAATTGTTAGCTTTTGGAATGGAAAGGAAGCTTCCCCCAAACTTTTTATCTCAGGTGCTAAGAAAACTTCTAAGAAGCCAGCTGGGTGGCAACCATTGCAAGACAGAATACTAGATCACCTCCAGGTGTTGGGTTTGAAGAACTGCCCAGACATATTATTACTAAAAAACAAGGCAGCCGTTCTTGTGATCAAGATATAGGAAACTTTAAAAATTGAGTATAGTGTTTCAACAAAATGTTTCTATCTTGCAGGAAGAGGCGATATGGCCATGTCAAACATTGTAGGATCCAATGTGTTTGATTTGCTGTGCTTGGGATTGCCCTGGTTTATAAAGACAGCCTTTGTAGACACATCAACTCCTGTGCAGGTGAACAGCAGTGGTCTGACCTACACTGCCATCTCTCTGGTTTGTTCCATTGCTTTTATTTTTTTGGCTGTTCACCTGAATGGCTGGAAGCTAGACAAAAAACTAGGGGCAGTCTGTCTAGTCATGTACTTTGCATTTGCAGTATTAACCATTCTTTATGAACTTGGAGTCATAGCAAACAACCCTATCCAGATGTGTGGTGACTAGTTTTGTTGCTGTTTTTAATACTGTAGTCAGCAATTAAAAAAATCAAAGATTAAAAGTCTAGTTATTCATTTAGTCAAATGAGAACTCCAGAATTCCTTTTGGGCTCTAAAACTTATTTACAGAAATTCCACATCATGACTGAAAAATCACTGTCAAGCTCAAAACTATCAAGAACTAATGAAAGTGTTGCTTTTCAGAGAAAGAAGCGGCAGCGGCCAGCAATGCACGTAAAACGAACGGAAAGGGAGGGAAGGCACACTATTTACATTACAGTTGCAATGTGGGGAAGTCTGACACAAAACAAGTCTTACTATACAGTCTTTGTTAAACAGAGAAAATGGCTTGTTTTATTAAAAACAGTAGAACCATTCATTTAAACTGAATGACTAGAGACACCTAGCATGATTTTGGAGAGGCACAAATCGCCACAGCTTCAGGACCTCGTGAGAAGATGTGGCCATTCATACCACCGAACAAGTCAGGAAAGTTCTCTTCAAAAACCAAAACGTAGTAAGAGTCAGTCCACAAGTTCACAGTATATTAAACACTATACTGTTAAAGGCTGGTGGGTTTTAAAAGTTTTGTTTTTCCAACTCAAGTAAAGCTTACAATGTTACTAAAATGACCTACTGGGGGGAGGTGGGGAGAGAGGGAAGCTAAACTGACAAAAGGAATGTTCCTTAACAGGTACTTATAAATTACGCAATGCGATCCAAACGTACGTCAATTTCTCTGCCACTGATTTTTATGCCGTTCATTATTCTACAAGCCTTTTCTGCCGATTCTGGTGAGTCAAATCTGACTGTTCCACAGCCTTTGGATTTTCCATTCTCCATTTTAATTTCTGCAAACATTACATGACCTGAACAAACAAAGTTAAAGTTTAGTTTAGCCTACAATGCACTCATGGACACAGGAATCCCACAATCTCTATACATAACTTTAAATTATCAGTAAATTGGCCACACGTGTGGGCCTCAGACGCACCACATGGCCTCGTCTCAAATCCCAGTACTCCAGCGGCCTACCCATCATTTCCTCCTATACATTAGCTGCCGACTGCATTTACTTCCCAATCCTCTGTCACTTGTCTGCTCCTTGAGTGTGTGTCCTATCCTGGAACATCCTATTTCCTGCTTACCCTCATTCAAAGTAAACTTTCTCTTGCAACGGTTCTGACAATGCTGGATTTCTTTACATACTCCAACATTTCCCCCTACCTACTTGAGTACAGCTGAACTGACAAATTGGATTATTTACAAGAAAAGCAGCAACAGAATAAGCTCAAGAAATGCTGGGGGATTTTCTCCCACCTGGACAACCTCAAGCAATAGAAACAGTAGTCATATTCATCAAAAACCTTGGACGGTTTTAAAATTACCCTTGAACGGTTCAGTGATATTTTTTCTTCAAACTGTGCTTACCGTTCCCCCCTTAAAGGCCCTTAAAATCAAGTGCATCCAACTAAAGCTCTCCTCATACATTTTTTGATCAGCCTTGAAGTTCCCACCTTACACTAGAATTGAACTCTATACTAAATTATAAAGAAACATAAACCTTAACTCTGTAAGCCACATACAGAGGTTAATATAAAAAGCACATTTCACACCAAATTATTTCTTTCTGTTGTTTGATTAAAATGGACAAAAACACAAAATGGACAAAAACACAAAATAGTTTCAAACAGATATGACAAGACACTGAAAATTGATGTTTTAAAAATGAGACATTTTTGTGAAGACTATGATACATCTAAGACTGAAGAAGTATGCAGTTAAGGAATGAAATTATAGCTTAAGCGAAGGGTGAGCAACTTGCAGCCCTCAAGATATTCTGGCCTAGAATACCCATCAGTCATAGCCAGCATAGCAAGTGGTGAGGAATGATGGAAAGCGTAGATCAAAACATCTGGAGTTATGGAACTACACATTGCCTACCTGTGACTTAACCACAGGCAGGCTTCCCTCTTCCCTTTTAAACAGATGGTTCAAACAGTACACACAATAATTATAATGATGGGAATTATATTCCCTTTAGAATTCTGTGAAAGCAGACTTTGAAGTTGTGAACATTAATTCAGATAATCATTTGCTTTGCAGAATGTAAAAACAAAAAAGCTACACTCCAAAGTGATTCTATACTTTAAAAGTATGCAAGCATAGCATCAAGCAACTTTCTGACATTACTAAAGAAAGACCCAGTTATCAAGGAGTATTTTATAAAATGCAGTTTACAGAATGCACGCCATGCTTTTCCTCTCTCAGGAAAAAAGAGACTCAAAATATATAAACAACAAGGTGGGGGAGGGGAATCAAGTTTCTAACTGTCGATGTAATATATTGTGGTCTCAAACCTAGGTGGGTTGCGATGTAAACCGAAACCATGGTTTGCTGTGATATAGACATAGCAATCAACACCATACAACCAAAATAGTATCTGAAACCATACAGTATGGGAAAACTGCTTTTATCACAAGAGGTCACACAAAATAGTTTTGGGCACTGCATCACCATGTAAGGCCCCTTTGGAGATTCTCAAGGAACATACACAAACCATGGTTTACCTCTACATGTGAGACACAATTCATGGTTTAGAGCAGCGGTTTCCAAACTTTTTCAGTCATTGAACCTGAACATGGCATTTGTTCCCACGGAACCCTAACTCTATCCCTGATTTTTACCGAGCATTGTGAACCCACAACATTCTTCCTTCTTTCAATCTGCTCCTATTGCCCGAGTGCTTTGCAAAATGTAGGTTTGGAAATAAAATCATTTTAAATATAACAAATTATATGGCAATGTCCCAAATGAATTCTTTCAGTTATTCCCGACACTACGCAATTGAGTCCTAGGAACCAAATGATGTGATGCATTTCCTTGTGTGCTGCTTGGACGCCAACTGACAATCGAATAGTTGGCCTTGTGAAGTTTCATTTGAAAATCAGTTTTAAATTTGATTTTTGAGATTTTTTTGCAGAACCCCTACAAGGCTTTTGCGGAATGCTCGGGTTCCGCAGAACACAGCTAGAGAATCACAGGTTTAGAGACTAAGCCACAATTACTGCAACATTTGGTTTGGTGTTTATGTCTGAACCAATGTATTGTATTCTGGGAAACCCTGGGTTTTCCCCCAAAAAGGACAAGTCCACTCAGTTCATGCACAGAGATATTAAGTCCCAATAAACCTGGTGAATTCCCTGTATGAGCTGCAGGACATTCACCAGCAATAAATCACTGCCAGACTCATTTCACCCTGCATCTCTGTTGTGGCTGGTTATCTTTATTTGAGTGGCAGCTACATTTATGCCCTAATACTTACCACACTGGCTGAATTTTTCCTTAAGCTTCTGCCAGGTCAAGTCAAAAGGAAGCTGAAATGAAGATAAGCATATAGTAACATAAGAGAAGAAGCAAAAGAACTCTGCTGTTAATTAGTTTAATTCATATGCTTACATTTCTGACAAATATTTGGTTGCCTTTGGAGCCTACACGATCTCTCACACCACTTCCCATTGGACCAGGCACAAACCCTCGATCCATATCAATATTTCTTTCTAGCCCAGTCCCCATGGTGGGGCCCATTCGATCAAAACTGGAGCTCATCCGATCCATTCCTATTCCCATTCCCATTCCTCCAGTCATGCTATTCATGCCACTTATTCCACTACCTGCCAACAAAAGAGAGAAAAAGAAGGGGTGGGGAACACACAGGCAAAGTTAGGAATCTGAGAAAAAAATGGGTAACCACCAGCAATTTTGCTTAATATTCTACATTGATAAAGTGATGTTATGCATGGAAAATGCAGATGAGGGTCAGCAGAGAAGACTAACTAGATTCTTGTGAAGAGGCTATACATGTGGCAACCACATTTTCCAGTTAAAAACTACTGGGTGCTGCCACCGCCAGTAGCACAATATTGTTTTCCAAGCATGGCAAGCTTTTGGGATACCACTGCTAGACCCAAATTTAGGGCAGCTCAAACTGACATGCCAAAAGAAATTCAATATGAATGACTATGCCACTGCAGGCTCATTAGGTCATGATTATCATTTATTGACTGTGTGATGGACTTTTGATATTGTTAGTTAGTATCAGATCCTTCCAAACAACTGAGAGATATTAAAATTATGGGATGTATTTGCTAAGACACTCAGAGGAGGGCCAGAGCTTGGGGGAAGGTACTTGGTTTGCAAGTTAAAGGCATCCACCTTTGACCACCTTATACAAATTCATTCATCCAAAACCTGATTCCTCCACACACAGCCAAAAGCATGATGTCTCATGAGAATAAAAATGCCTTATTAAATGGCATCAAGCCTTTAGAAGACAAATGGTAGTATATTCTATAGTAAGTAGTGGAAATATGTATTCTTACAGTGCAGAGAAGTTAGCATTCTTAACACATGCTTCCATTTATTTTGTAGCCATGCATGACTCTGTGAATCTCACTTCCACTAACCATTGTGTGAATTAGTCAGCAGAAATTCTGTACAGCTAATTACTGTCACTACAGTTTTACTTGACTCCAATTCCAGGATATGCTATGTTTATAGAAATACTACACCCCAGACAGTCTTAAAATGAATCTTAAGCCACAGGAAACACTTTATTCCTACATCTGTAACAACTAAACATACAGGAAGTTGGACAAGATACAAGTATGTATGTCATAAAAGAGCACAACTTAATAAGCTTCAATTAAAACTGCAGCAGCATAACCAGCGAAATACTGAAATAAATTGCTTTTTCCCTGTCACTGGCAAGTTTCCTGAGTTCACCTTAGTACTCAAAACCCTACTAAAATCAGAATTTATATTTGGTTGAAACAGGTCAACCTACTCATTCCAGATCCTACTGGGCCCATATTAGAAGCTCCCATTCCTCCTGCAAAACCACCAACCATTGCACCACCTAAACAAGGACAGAAAAAAAGTAGAGTTATATACTCTGTTTTACTGTAAGCTAGGGAATTCTACAAAACCACTTCCTTATGACCGCACCATTATATGTGGGTTTACTATCTTCTAAATATATTCATCTAAACAAGAACTAACCTAGACAGGAAAAAGAGCAGAAAAAAAGATGTATTAATGTTCTAAAAAATGCTTCAGTGTCGGAAGAACT